AAATTGTTTTAAAAAATACATTGTAAATAATTACATACTTTTTCTATATATTAATTAATTTATATATATATATATATATATATATATATATATATATATTTACTGTTAGTTTTAAATATGTCTTCTGAATCTCTGGACCATGAAAATAATCATTTGCAGTAAAATGTTCATTACAGATTATAGCACATTTACTGGGAGTTCAATTTTGTCTGTTTATCGCATCCAACCAAGCTGTCAATCAATTTTTATCTTTGAAGGAAAAGCTGCAATATTTCATATGAAAGTGTTGATTTATAAATATTTATAAATAACACATAGAAATAATTAGTTTCTAAAAAAATAAGAGAAACAGGTTATATGTTAGAAAGATTGATATTTCTTCCTTTAGAATATCTACTTGAACAGCCAAGTATGCTACAAGTCATTGGCATTTTTATTCTTGACATTTTTACATGTGTACTATATATAGACTTGATATTTTTAGTTTATTTTTACTTTCAAATGTTTTAAACGTATACGTTTAAAAAATGGATGAATGACATGAATCGATCGAATATCGAATTCATATCGATATTCTGCCCAATTGTAAATGACTGCCCTGATCCCTAGGAAATATCAGCATTGAAATCAATGGCAAAATTTTTCACTTTTCATTTTTCTGTTCTAGGGGAAAAGTTACATGATCGATATCCTGGCTTCACATGTTCTTATATAAAATATAGCCGTATTAGCAGTCTAGTATATTATAGAAGTCTGTGAATTTAACGCAGAATTTAATGTTGGCGCGTTGTCAAGCGTTCCTTCCACTACACCGATTTTTAAACAAAATTTTGTAACACAATTTCGCGTGACTGTATCTCATTAACTATTGAATTAAATAATGTAAAACTTGCATCACATGTTGAATATTGAGTTGTGAATAACCCTCTAAAATGGCAGCACAAGCGGATCAAACGTTCGGAAATGCGAAGCGAGTCTCAAAACTTGATTGTTCGACAGTGTATATATATATATATATATGAGAGAGAGAGAAAGGGGAAGATTATAACATATTTGACGCAGGTTGTAATACGACCAGATAAATATTTTGAAAACACTTTAAATATCTTGCAACATTTGACTCGAGTTGAACAAAATCGTCTTGGAAACAATGTCAATAAAACTTTATGGAATACTGCTCCAGCGATCGTGAACGCTTATTACAGTCGCAACAAGAATCAGATAAGTCAGTTTAACTTCATTTAAGAAAGTATTTGCATGTTCTTTATTTTTCTCACGTTTTTCTCACGATTCGTGTATTAAGAAAGGAAAATTAATCTTCTTAAAAATTATTCACATTATTCTATTCTCTCTCTCTGCCCTTTTTCTTAGTGTTTCCAGCGGGCATACTACAGCCTCCTTTTTATCACAGATTTTTTCCACGAAGTTTAAATTATGGTGGAATTGGCGTCGTAATTGGACATGAGATTACTCATGGATTTGATGATAAAGGTAGATTGTTCGACAAGGATGGGAATCTTCATAGGTGGTGGAAAGACGAAGCAATCGATGGTTTTCACCGAAGAGCGCAATGCCTTATCGGTAGAGAAAAATAAAACAAAATTTGTTTTCGGCTAATAGAAACATGCGGATAAGATAGCGATTATACATGTTTTTGGTCTTGTAATCAATGTTCTTTCTCACAGATCAATATGCACGTTATACCGTAACGGAAGTTGAAATGCAGATAGATGGCGTTAATACGCAGGGGGAAAATATTGCCGATAATGGCGGTATTAAACAAGCGTTTAGAGTAATTTCATAGGTTTTCGTTTTTGAAAATCTTTAACAAAAAAAAGTTCAAATTTTTCAAACTAAAATATTTATATCTCTTTACAGGCATATGAGAGATGGTTACGCTTGAATGAAGAGGAAGACGAGACATTACCCGGAATGAGTGCGACAGGTAAACAATTATTCTTTTTGAATTTTGCTCAAGTTTGGTGCGGTTCAATGCGTCCCGAGGCAACTAGAAATAAGCTAAAAACAGCTGTACATTCGCCTGGTAAATTTCGAGTGATCGGTACGCTCTGTAATTCCAAGGATTTTGCTCAAGTGTTTAATTGCCCTCTTGGTTCTCCAATGAACCCTGTAAGCAAATGCTCGGTATGGTAAAACATAATAATTATAATAATTATAATA